GCCGGGGAACGGCCACTGCACTCCAGTATGGGCGACAGAGTGAGACTCCAACTAAAAAAAAAAAACTATGAACAAATTCCTGTGCACACTGCACATATCTTATTTTGAAGTGAAAAAACAAAACGGGAACAAATACAATATTTAAAATGAAGAACAAGTAAAGTTAAATCAACAAACTTACCAGTATTTCAGTGGGAACTATGGGCCTGCTGTTGGCTAATGAGATGGTCAGTGTCCGGTTCCATATTTGTCACTGCTAGTCGTAATAAGTTAAGGTGGCAAAAACACCCGGCGGGCTGGATAAATGTCCTCGGCGGGCCGCATGTGGCCCGCGGGCCGTAGTTTGAGGACCCCTGTTCTAGGTGCTGCTGTCTGGGACCCGGGACCCTTCTCTTAGCTAATACGTCTCACATCCTGAAGTGCTTTCAGATTCAACGCAGACCTGGACTCCCTTACCCCTTTTCTTACGTTTCCTCCCTCTGAGCTCAGCCACAAGGCACGCTTGACGTTTTGAGAGTGTTACAGCGTCTCCACGGCGTCAGAGAGGAATAGGAATGTTATTCTGGCATATGATTCCTCATGTCCACCAGGCTCTTGTTCTCATGGAATTTCTTCATATACAAATGTTTAATACTGGGAAGCTTTGTTTTGCTTGATCTCTGTACGTGAGTTCATTAGTCTGCCTTCCGTTATTAACACATGCTATGAATATAATTTGATATACAGCTGTGTGCTTAGGGGAAGATTTTGTGGCTAAAGTGAAGTGCAAGACGGTCTGCCATGAAAAAAAATTAGATTTTGCTTTGCATTTCCTGGACGTGTTTAATCTTAACAGTATTTGGTGCTGCTTGATGTGATTGCATGTTATGCTTACGGGCACCAAATGCCTCGGTGCTGACGTTTCTCTGAATACATCACACTACCATAAACCCACGAGAGAAGGGAGTCAGTACGGGGTGGAAGTCGTCATGAGGAGAGAGGCCCTCTCCTTCCCACCAGCGCCCATTGGCTGCCAGGCTCAGGGCAATGGCCAGGGCCTTTTTACAAATTGACCGCCACAAAATCAAGGTGGTCTTTCAAGGTCCTAAAAAATTTTAAGTTCTTGGTAAATATGAGGGGCCACCCTTAGACACGTCACTGTCTTAAGGAAATGATAACTGCATCCTAATTTTAAAACCCCCTTAGAGATGATGTCTCGATTTTTCCTGACAATTGAGCTCCATATTTTTTTTTAAATCAATATTTTTTATTTTGATATTGTATGGCCATTCTGAGTGGAGTTAGGTGGTATCGCAGTGTGGTTTTGATTTACATCTCCCTGATGATTAGTGAGGTTGAGCATTTCTTCATATGTCTATTGGCTGCTCGGATGTCTTTCTTTGAGAAGTGTCTGTTCATATCTTTTGCCCATTTTATAATGGGGTTGTTGAGCTCCATATTTAATGCTTTCCTTGCTAGTGGCCCTCAATCCCTTAGGCGATGGTATAATAGAACATTCGCTTTGGTTCTGTATTTACTTGGAGGCTAGAAAAGATAACAGAGTGAACAATCTCCACCCCACCTCACAGCCCAAACACACAAACACTCTTTTCAGGAGGTAACCCCCAAATTCAACACAACACAGCAAATTATGTCAAAAGTAGTTTCTTAGGCATATATAATATAGACAAAAAGGTAACTTGGGGTTTTTTTCCCCTGCCCCTCCAGGAATAAACTTTGCTGTTGAGAAAGGCGGCCACACATGTATCTAATTCTGTGTCACGGCATTAAACGGCTTCTCTCCTTGCCAGTGCAGCCCTGGTCTTTCTGTCAACACCAGGCTCATTAACTTATTTTCAAAAAGACCTCCCTTTGCTTTCCTACCTCCACAGCTGACCCCTTATTCATTTTTTTCATGGAAAGCAAGTGTCTGACCATTTCCAGAACTGAATCAAAGGGCCACCTTGGATTGATCAGTTAAAACAGGTCATTGGAGTAAATGATTAGAAAATCAGAAGCAAGCTTGCCAAGGTCACAGGCTTTGATACGTGAATGAATAATTATTTTCTAAGCATAAAAGAAAGGATCCTACTCAAGATGTCAGAAGACCTGAATGCACAAAAATAATCTATTTCAGAATGCATAAAAACAAATTAAATGGCAAAGCGTTAGGAAATTCAAACAACATATGGCATGGGGTTATCACCTCTTATGTGCAAGAAGTGTGTCAAGAAGAAAATCAGTGTGAAGAAGAAGACACTTCAGTGGAAAAATGGTCGAAGGACACGGAAGGGCATTGATCAAAGAGGAAAAATAAACTACAATAAATATTGTCGGTTTCAGTGTCACAGGTATAAAAAAATAATGCAAACTAACAACAAGATACCCTTTTCAATGTATTAAAAGGTAATACCTATTGCTAGTGAAGGTGTAGGAAACTGGTCTTACTTTTGTTCTTCTGGTAGGAGCATTAAATGGTTCAATCAGTCTTCAGGTAAGTTTGACATCACATTTCTTTTTTTGTTTTCTTTTTTTACTCCAGACTGGAATACAGTGGCACGCTCATGGCCACCCCAGCGTCAATCTGCTGGGCTCTGGCGATCCTTCCGCCTCAGCCTTCCAAGTAGCCAGAACAACAGGCACGTGCTACCACGCCTGGCTAATTTTTTTTATTATTATTTATTGTAGAGATGAGGTCTCGCCAAGTTGCCCAGGCTGGTCTCGAACCCACAGTCTCAGGCAATCCACTTCCCTCGGCCACCCAAAGCGTTGAGGTGAGAGGCTGAGCCTCCAAGCCTGGGCATCATTTCTCTTTTACCCTTTCTTTCTTCTCTCCTCCCTTCTTGGAGGGGGTAGGTGCGATGAGATTGTGCCTGGCAAATAAGTTTCTGAAGAAATGACTTAAAACTTTTGTGTCAGGCATCCCCAAGACCACTGCCAGCTTTGGTGTTTTGCTAGGAGAGCTCGTGGGACTCGGCATATAGTTATACCCGTGGCTATGACTTCTTCCAGGGAAAGGACATACAGAAAATTCAGCACAGGGAACAGTACGTGGGACAAAGCCTGGTGGAAGCCTGGTACGGCCTTCCTGGCACACAGGCTGACACACAGAACAGGTTTCTTTCCCCCCAGCAATGCGCTGTCGTGACACATGTGAAGTGTTGTCTGCCAACAAAGCTCACGGGAGACGAGTGGCCAGGATCTTACTGGAGTCTGATCACATGGGTACCCCGGACATGGCAAGTACCCAAATGCCAGACTCTCAGAAGGAAAGGAGGTGTTTGTATAAGCGGCATTGTTTGTACAAACTGTTTACATAGTAGGCCTCCTCTTATCAGTTAGAGTGATGGGAACTCTCCCTGAATTCCCATTCCCAGACGCAGGCCAAGGGCCAGCCTTGGAAGCAGACCTTTCGAAAGACAGCGGTCAAGCCTACTGTGCTAAATCTGTTCTGCACAGCAATGTTGACCAGGAAAACCGATTTTAGACTTTAAAGTTCTCAACGTTCTGGTTGGTTCCCACGTGCGAGGCAGCACCATCAGTGACATTATCTCCTGAAGTTAATCAAATCTTCAAAATACCTTGTGGAATAGAGTGTCGCCCCTGAAACTGAACGTAGTCTTGCCTTCCTTACCCTCAGTAGGTGCTGAAGCTTGTCTGGAGAGCCCCTTTTTCCGTCTCTTTCCTATTCCCACATTCTGTGATATTGGGTTTGTGGTCGGAAACTGGGCATTTGGGGAATATTTTGTACCACAGAAACCAATAAGGACTGAGATCAAGCTTTTCTCCCCCAGAATGCCAGTTTTTTTGTTGTTGCTGCTGTTTTTTGTTTGTTTGTTTGGTTGGTTGGTTTTCTGTTTTGAGTTGGAATCTCACTCTGTTGCCCAGGCTGGAGTGCAGTGGCAGCTCATGGCCACCACAGCCTCGACCTGCTGGGCTCAGGTGATCCTTCCACCTCAGCTTTCCAAGTAGCTGGAACTACAGGCACATGCCACCACGCCCGGCTAATTTTTTATTTTTATTGTAGAGACGAGGTCCTGCCAAGTTGCTCGGGCTGGTCTCGAACCCCTGAGCTCAGGCACTCCTCTCACCTGGGTCTCTCAAAGTGCTAGGATTATGGACATGAGCCACCACGCCTGCACTGATAGTTGTTAAACATTTGCTAACACACCACCATCTAGCCCTAATTACTAATTTAATTCATTCTTATACTTGATGTGTTCCTCTGAGTGATGGTAAGCAGAAAGAAACATGACTTGCATGAAATATTGAATTTCTTTTTATTGGTATCTATATCTTTCCTAAGCAATTTCAGGAGCAGAGACAAGTCTCCTACTTAGTTAATGCATTCTTCACATATATTAGTTAACAAACTTGGAGTGTTCTCCTTTGCAAATAATATTGAGTTATTTGTGGCTATATGAATAAATGTACATAATTACAGTTGACCGTTGAACAATGTGGGGGTTTGTGGCACCAACCCACTGTGCAGCCCAAAATACATGTATAACTTTTGACTCCTTAAAAACTCAAATACCAATAGCCTACTTTTCACTGAAAACCTCACTAATAACATAAGTGGTCGATTAACATGCATTTTGTGTGCTCGATTAACACATTTTGTTTGCATTGTATAACAGTAAATTAGAGAAAAGAAAATGTCGTTAAGAAAATCGCAAGAGAATATATTTGCTGTTCATTACAGGGGAGGGGATCACCCTAAATGTCTTTATTCCCATCATCTTCAAATCGAGTAGGCTGGGGAAGAGGAAGAGGACAAGAAGGAGTTGGTCTTAATGTGACAGGTGGCAGAGGCGGGAAAACCATCTTGGTTTTTATGTATTTATTTACTTACTTTTTTTGTGAGTTGGAGTCTCACTCCGTCGCCCAAGCTGGAGGGCAGTAGCACGCTCATAGCCACCCCAGCGTCGACCCGCCAGGCTCAGGCTATCCTTCTACTTCAGCCGTCCAAGTAGCTGGAACTACAGACATGCACCACTATGTCCAGCCCATTTTTGATTAATTGTAGAGATGAGGTCTCGCCAAGTTGCCCGGGCAGGTCTCGAACCTGCGATCTTAGGCAATCCACTCCCCTTGTCTGAGCCACCGAGCCCGGCCATAATCTTGGTTTTAAGTTTTCCCAGGTAGTTCAAACCAGTGTTGTTCAAGAGTCCACAGCATCTTCTAGAGGATTTTCCAAATCGAGTCTTAAGAGGCTGAGATGTTCAAGCCAACCAACATAATTTTACCTTTTTCTAGCCTTGGTTTGTGCAATTACTGTGATTAAATGGCTTCAAAGCAATTTTTCTTCTCCTTAATTGTCGTTGTTGGACACTTAGTATTCCAGAGACACCTCCCCGCCCCCCGCCCCAGTTCATCTGCTTTCTCAGCTGGCAGGGAGGAGTGCGGAATTGGGCAAGAAAAGTCAATCGCGTCCCTCTGCTGAACCAAAGTCGCTTTTAAAGAGTGCATCTGAGGATGACGGTGGGTATGGAACAGAGAAGAGAGGCTCAGTCTAAAAGAAAATGGCCTTATCTCAGTAAGAACCCTATGCTTTATCAGCAGAGCCTTATTGCAATCGATGGACAGACTCCATGGGCATGGCACCAATGGCACATGGTTCATCACGGAGGAGCCCTCCAATACCTTTTGAGTCCACAACCTGTACGATGGTGCTAAGATCACGTGGCCCTCCTGCCTGGTATTCCCAGATATGTCTCCCTCAGTCAAAATCCCAATTTGTTAGGCAGCGTGGACGATCTTTCATAGTCTGACGCCAACCTCACTTCCTCTCTTCTGTGTGTTTATTCTGCAGCCAAACTCTGTCAGATGCCCGCTTGCCTCTTCACTTTTTCAGAAGAATGACTTGCCTTTGCTACGTCTTTGACGATTCACTGTCAAGTGTTCATCTTAAGATTCAACTCAAATATCACAATTGTCTCTTTCTGTAATCCTATAGATTTTTATTTGCATTTATATACTCTTTTTATTGTAATTTTTTTTTTTACTTTAACACATGTTAGATGCTTACTCTGTGTGTGTTTGTGTGTGTACGTGCCTCCCACTTAATGGACTATAAGGCAAGAACTGTCTCAAGTGCCATATTAAAACATTGCAGGAATTATTTTTTAATAAAGATTTTGCAGTAGAACTGGAATAGGAACTGAATCACTCTCTACGTGGAACCCTCAATAATCACTCTCCGCGTCACACTCTGTTTTTTACTCCTTAGGCAGACACACAGATTGACCGTGAACATCAAAACTTCTACGAGGCATCGTTAGAATATGTCTTTAAAATCCAAGAGGTTCAAGAGAAAAAGAAGTTTGAATTTGTTGAACCGGTAAGTTTGGGTTTCCTTGTAAAAACAGGAGGCCCAACACAATCTGTGGAAAACACGTCCAGTTTTTTTTTTATTGTTGAAAGTAAAAGGGAGGCGGGAAGGAGAGGGGTGACCAGGTGGAACCCAGGGGACTTTGGGGACTGTGACGCTCTTCCAGGCGGCACTGTGGTAGTGCGTGAATGTCGCCCTACATGTGTCAAAACCCGGACGGCGTGCAGTACCAGAACTGAGCCCTCGTGTGAACTGTGGATTCTGTTAATAGTAATGTCTTCGCATTGGCTTATCAACTCCAACAGACGCACCGCAGAAACACAGAAGGGCAAGAATGAGGACACTGCGGGTAGGGGGCTGAGGGGACATTTGGGAACTCTGTACTCTCCACCCAGTGTTTCAGTAAACCTTTTAAAACTTCTCTAAAAAACGTATTGGTTTAAAAGACATGAGCAAATGAACAGATGTACATCACCTGTCCACGAGCGAGGGCACCTCACCCGTCAAGGGTCTCCCTCGCCAAGCCTCTGGGAGGAAGAAGCACACAAGGCTGTTCTCCCCTCTGTTCCACACACCCTTCCTTAGGGGGCTCGTACCTGCCTGACTTTCCCATGAGGTCATTTATTTTCCTAAGTCCGTACAAGAAGTAATGGGTTCCCTGATGCAAACAGCATTTCGGGAAAGAGCAGGTGGCTGGTCTCTGTAAGCTCACTTCAGTTTTTAGCATTTTTTTTTCAAGTGATATTCTCGTGTGTTACAATGTTGCCTGAATAGGCTTTTCGTAAGGTGGCATCTATGACGAGCAAAGTCTTTGATAATATACTGTGATAAATCAGTAGCAGAGCTGAAGCGATCGCCTGTGGGTGTATTACCCAATTCCCACGAGATGAGAAGACAGGGTAAGTAAATGCATAAGGAATTCCATATCTAATTAAGCCATTCTTTTTTTAATTTTAAAGATGTGGAGTGCAATTCCGGATTAGATATACAAGTGGTCATCATACAGGCAAAGTTTGGGCCTTCCTTGGTCCCCACTTTGCCTGGTTTGAGATCAGGTACCCTTATGGATGTTGTTCACCCGTCCCCTGCTATTGTCAGTCCCTTTCTTATAGTATTATGGCAAATGTTCAAGGTCCACCAAAGAGGAGAATATGTAGAACTCTGTTCTTTGTTTCTGTGATCACTGAGTATGATCGACTCTAAATCCATCCAAGTTGCTGTGAAGCCCAGATGTCTGTCCTTCTTCATGGCTGCATAATATTCCACTGTGTATATGTACCACAATTTTTATCCAGTCCAACTTTGATGAGCAGCACGGTCGGTTCCATGTTTCTGCTATCATGAGTAGTTAAGCCATTCTTTCTCCCTGTGTCAGTCTTTAAAAAAATCCATTTATAATAAAAAACAAAATGGCCTGCTCTTTTCTTCGTGGCAGTGATCAGGAGAAGGGAAGGGAAGACAGCATTTAAAAATACACTTGCCATGACTCATTGGATGGAGACCGCCAGTCCTGCCCTAGGGAAGATGGGAAACAGGGAAGCAGAGGCTGGGGCCGATTATCGGCCCCTGAGCGGCTTCTAGGACCTCTGCTTTGCTTCTCTTTCTTCAGGTGGAGCCTCTTGGCTCTCTCCTGACAACCAGCACTTGGCAAATTTGCTAGAATGACCTTTCGGCTAGGCAGAGTAAGGAACTGAAGGCCACTGTTCAGGCAGAGGGGTTTAACTTTGACCTTGAATTTGCGATAACAGACTGAAGTCCAAGTTCTGTTTGCCAGGCAGTCCTCAAATCCCTTAGAATGAGTTGGTAACTAACCCCTTAGGCAGCAGACCCCTCGCAGATCTGAAACCTAGGAGCAGTCTTCTCAAGCGCATCTGGGGTTGGTGGCCAGCTGGCCAGCCCAGCAATCCCTACTCCAGGAAGATGACCCCCACTTAAGATCCCTACACCCCTTCTCATTGGCTAAGGCCTACCCCAGAATCCTGCCATGGTTTGGAAGCCTCACTTCTTGCTGGAAACGTCTTCCCTCCTGCTTACCTCCTGGGATGTTTGAATTTTAGCTCTTGACCGTTTTCGTGTATATTTCCTCCTTATGTGTCCCGGCTTCCTTCAGACACTGGGCTCTTCTGCTGTACCGTCATTTCTTCTCATGCCTGGAATGATCCATCCACACCTGGTGACCCTTCTCCCTCCTGGAGCGTGGCCTGGGGGTCCCTTGTTTCCCCAAGTCTCTTTTATCGCCCATCCTGTCTGGGAACCGTGAACCAGAACGTTCTGTAAGATGACCCCTGGTGTGGAAAGAGAAGAGTGGAAAATGGTGTGGTCGCAGGTGGCCCAGGAGTCACAAGAACTGATGGATTTCTGAGAAAATTCGCGTAGCTTGAAACTTGTCCTTCAGTGAAAATATGGTTCCTTCCTTCCATGCACCTATCCCAAGCTGTGATGTTCCGATAAGTTTTCTGCCACGCATGCCTTTCTTATGACACCACAGTCAAAATGAACGTCAAATTGGTCCTTCTTCCAAAATATTTTCCCAGCTGCCGTGTTTTTCTTATCCAAACATCTGGCCAAACCAAATAGCACCGTGAGGTTCGTCTCATCCTCACCTCTAGCCTCAGGGTCTCATCCACGAGGCTGTCCTTGATGTCCATTCAGGAATGAAAAGGCTCAAAGGGGACCCATGAAGCATGAACACGTGTGTTGATCTTTTGGTTACACATTGATAGGTCAATTTGGAGGAAGGAGGTTTTTTAAATTTTCGGAAAACAAAGCTCCCAGAAGCTATCAGCATAAAACGTCATGAGAACACTTTAATGTCTTTGCGGTTTTTATTCTTTAGAAAGGTAATTCGTGTTTGTATTACTGTTGCATATTGCAGAAATCCAGCCGTCTATTCTAATTTTAGCCCAGATTAATTTCACAAGTGAACATCAGAGTAGAGCAAATGCCCTAGGGATGGAAACTGTCTCTTACTGATTGTAAGGTATCAAACAGAAAATCTAAGTAGGGCATGGTGGTTCACATTAAATAATATTCTTACTTTATGGTGATACATTGGATATAATTTTGCATTGTTTTAATTAGTGTCAAGCTCCTTTACTTGTCAGGGAACATCTATAGAATATTCAGGTGCTATTAGGAATAAACATTCCTATGTTATTATTCTAAGGAAAAACTTGAATTAAAAGGGACAATTATAGACTTTTTTAAAATAAATAAACTATATGTTACCATTTTTCTTTTCTCTTTTTCTTTTCCTTTTTTTTTTTTGAGTTGGGGTCTCGCTTCATCACCCAGGCTGGAGTGAAGTGGTACATTCACGGCCACCCCAGCGTCAACTCGGTGGGCTCCAGTGATTCTTCCACCTCAACCTTCCAAGTAGCCAGAACTACAGGCATGCACTACCATGCCTGGCTCATTTTTTTATTTATTGTAGAGATGAGGTCTCACCTAAGTTGCCCAGACTGTTCTCGAACCCATGGGCTCAGGCAATCCCTTTACCTTGACCTCCCAAAGTGCTGGGATTACAGGCTTGAGCCACTGTGCCCGGACTTGTTTTTCAAGTATACCAGAAAATCTTTTTAAACCAAATTCTCCATAAGCAATGCAATTTCAATGACCTTTTTGTTTCTAGTTTATTATATTTTATGTGGAAAGTGACTGTAGCTCACTAGTGATCTCTTGACTATCCTATATGGTAATAACTTTCCACATGACTTTAGAGCACTTGAAATGAGGCCAGTCTAGATTACGACGTGCTGTAAGTATAAAATAAACACCAGATGACAGAGTCTAAGGGTGAAAACAATGTGCAATATCTTATTAGTACCTCTCCTATACTGATTACAGGTTGAAATGAAATATATATATATATAGAGAGAGAGAGAGAGAGAATTGGAGTCTTACTCTGTTGCCCAGGCAGGACGGCAGTGGCATACTCACAGCCACCCCAGCGTCTACCTGCTGGGCTCTGGCGATCATTCCGCCTCAGCCTTCCAAGTAGCCGAAACTACAGGTGTGTGCCACCATGCCCAACTAATTTTTTGTGTATTTATTATGGAGATAAGGTCTCACCAGGTTGTCCAGGATGGTCTTGAATCTGCAGGCTCAGGCAATCCACTCGCTTCAGCCTCCCAAAGTGTTGGGATTGCAGGCTGAGCCACTGAGCCCTGCTGAAATATATATTTGTTTGAGTCCCGGTCTCACTCTGTCTCCCAGGCTGGAGGGCAGTGTCACAACCATGGTTCATGAACCCTCACCTCGACTTCCTGGTCTTAGACAATCCTTCCACCTCAGCCTCAGTAGCTGGAACTACAGACACATGCCACCACGCCTGGCTAATTTTTTGAGTTTTCATAAGACAAGATCTCGCTGTGTTTCCTAGGCTGGTCTCGAACTTCCAGTCTCAAGCAGTCCTCCTGCCTTGGCCTCCCAAAATGCTGAGATTACAAGCTTGAGCCACCTCACCCAGCTGACATGATATTGCTGACATATTGTGTTAAAATAAGTTATTCAAGTTCATCTGACTTGTCGTTTAGGTTTTCTAAAATGTGTCTACTAGAAAATTGTACTTTGACTTGCATTTGTGGCTCACATTCGGTTTCCGTGGAGCGGTAGGTCCGTTGAACCACGTCCTTTCAGACCTGCCAACAAGATGCACGAGGTCTTTAAGGGGGAACGAGATCAGAGAGGGAGAAACATCATCTCCTGACTCAGAGTCATAAGATCCACCGACTGCTCAGAGTCGCCTGGAGTTTATGAGAATTTTGAGGCATCAAAGGAAGGTCTCTGCAAGCATTCTGAACGTGCCCAGCTCAAAGAAGGGAGCGGGGGTGCCTGGGGGTATCAGAAGTGTTTTATGGTACATAAAGGTGTATGGCTTAGAAAACGGAGCCTTTTCACAACTTGTCTCCTCGATGTGACTGAATGTGTGTTGATCACGCCCTTTGAGCCCACTCAGTCAGGACGGGTGTTTTGTGAGCAACTACTGTGTGCTGTGGGTTTTCTCTGTG